GGGGAGGGGGATAGGCTACTGAACAAAGACCCTTGTCCCAACACCGTAACTCAGCCCCCCATTCCAATCAAAACCATTGTCCAGGAAGGGACGCAGTCAGCACGGGGACAATTAGAGTCAGCATGTGTTCCACCGGGTCTGAACGGGACGAGACGGTCCTGCCAGAGGTTCTCGCACAAGTCCTGGTGTTAAGTCCAACCATGCTGCCGCTGGGGGGGGCATCCAGATCTTATTAATCCTGCCTCCTCCTTTTTGTCAATTCAGCAAACGAGGCAGATATGTTTAACCTGGGACTATGAAGGACACGGCACAGGTCAGATCTCCAAAACCTGACCCCCCATCCCCCCCCCAATGGATTAGAGGATTTACTGAAAGGGATCCTGGTTTCAAGTCATAAAGGAGGGCACAGTTAAAACAATAAATATGTATTGATGTAAAACAGGTGTTTGGTCGAGTCCTTCTAGTCGGACCACAGCTGACCAGACAGACGTGTGGTGCTGGAGCTCCTGGGGAGGGCCACAGGTGTAGGTTCCCACACCACAAGAAGGGCTGGATGGGTGGAAGGTAGTTGTTGAAATATAAAAGAGGAGGGGGGGGGGGCAGAGAGAAGTGGAAGCCGGGGCAGGTTGGGGTCACTAAGCATGGGATCTGCACGCTTTTTCCTGAATAGAGGGGTCAGCCCCTCCGCATGCGGGGTGACGTGCCTGTTTGCATTGGAAGAATACGAAGAATGTGAGATCCAGGTCTGGTGTGTAATCCCAGGCCTGATCCCGCTCCAACAACAATCCAGCACCACTGGAGGGGTGCGTCTGCACCGCAGATTGAAGCTTTGATTGACTCGTAACGGCCCCTCGGGAAAAGACGGGGGGGTTGAAAGTCCGATACGAGACTCTCATATGTTCTGATGAATTCAGCCATAAAACTCACATGTTAGTAAAAAATCATCCTACCTCATGTGACCTTCATTTATTTCTGTTTCCCATGTCAAAGAGAAATGACCTAAATGTCCTCCTCTCCATCATCTTTGTCACGACGTCCC